GTAAGGCGGCCACGGGAACCGACGCTGAGGTAGCCTCCGACCGCTAGGGGAGGTGGGGCCCTTGGCTCCTAACACGAAGGGCGAGCAGCTCCGGGGTCCCTTCCCGGTGGGCGGCTCAGAGCAGCGCGGCCTTCTCCTCCCGGGTGGCCCTGGGGCTTGGCTGGAAGGTGGTGGCTCAGTTTCCACGTGGTCTTCGCCTCGCTCAGCCTCCGGTATCTTCCGCCGCCTGCGGCTACTGGCCATATGCCCTCCCCCAAGTCTCTGCAAGCTGCCAGTTTTTATTTATACACTTGTGAGTTTGTTTTGTTTTGTTTTAATTTGATCTGAAATAAGTAGAAATACGAAATCTTCAGGCCGGAGAGTGATTTCGAAATTAGAAATAAGGCGGCGGGCAAATCTCTCTTAGGAATAGTGAAGAATGGGTCGACACTGCCAGGCCTGCGCTGAGTGTCCAGCTGTCCTCAGACGCCCTCTGCCCTCTCCGTAACTGCAAGAGGGCAAGGGAACAGAGGCCTGCGGGGTTTGACTAGGCTCAAGACCAGCAAGCCCAGGCAGGCGGGTGAGGAGCAGGAGGTCACGTGGGTATTCCCTGTGGTGTCTTGGAGCGGCCATCGGCCCTCGAGGTTGGAGAGCGACCTCTACCGGGTGGGTCTGGTCGCTCCGCTCGGAAAGAAACCTCAGGTGGAGCTGCTTTCTCAGAGGCCGAGGATAGGGAGGTTGTTGCCAGGACTAGGTCCTCTGGCTGTTTCCTGGGATGAGGGGACGTCGCAGACCTCTGTCACTTGTCATTCTAAACCAAGTCCTATTTCTAACAAGGTCAGCCACATGGTTAGGATGGTTTAGGGGCCTCAGATTCCTCTTTGATGCAGCAAACTATTTAAGAATTATTCTTACTCTGTTAAAATGGCAAGGAGGTGGGGACCAGCAGATGGCCTAAGAGTTATGTTGCTAGACTTACACTCCCACATGGTCGACCAGTTCGAGTCTCAAAACTGGTAGCTTAGAAAATCCCTCCGAACGTTTGTGCCAGCTTGTCCAAGATCCGGGGAGGAGAATGGAGGAAAAGGGATTGTGGTGTGCAGTGTGGCCATCCCCCCTGGGAATGATTTCTCAATTTGCCTCTCACTGTCTCTGTCTAGCTCCTAGCTCTCTGAGCACACGTATCCTAAAGCAAAAACCTCTTAAAAAAAAAAAGGCATAGGGGAGACACAGACTTTGAATACTGCAAAGCCAGCTGGAGACTAGCAGGAACAGAGTGAGGGGTCTGCCAGGGTAAGGAGCTCCTCCTGAAGGCGGGGCAAGGACTCAGGTGAAGGTGAGAGATGAGGCATCTAAGCAGCTATCACAGTGATCAGAGATTACAGTCCAGGGCTTGTCTCGAACTGACAGCAGGATTCTGGCTAATACTGGGTTCGAAGCGGGAGAAGTGGGCAGTGGGGCCAACTGGAGACCTAGTGAGGAAGAAGGCTCAGGGGAATCTGACTAAAGTTTGGTCAGGAATAGTTTGTCAGGCCCACCTCAGCCGTGGGTCACACATGCCCTGCGTGGACATTTCAAAACTCAGCCAGGACTGTCCAGTCATGTGGAGGGTGGGCTTAAGCACAATATGCTTCTCTCCTGAAAGTAAGCTTCATTTC